CAAATTCGGATGGCGGAAATGCCAAGGGATGTTACAAACGAGGTTAAATGACATGATATAACAACAGTGGCACCTTGGGTGGGTTGTTGACCTGTTTCGATGTTGGGCTGTCACGGTCAAGCCAAGCGCCATACGGCACTCCATTCGAAACTGTCGAACAACTTACGGGGATGGGAGAGGTTACGAACGGGACTCCAGTCGACTGCGCCGGGGAGGTATTGACGGTATGGTACGGGACCCACAGTGCGGTGCTAGTTGAAGAGTCCTGCTGTAGTAGTTCTTGAACATGTGGTGTATGGAGGTCTGGGGCAACTGAAGTATTTCCCCTTTTCCTTTGCCTTCGGCTGTAAGCGCTGTGGAGAAAAAACTGCCGCATTGAAAGTGCACTACGTGGTTGTCGCCTTCCGTCCTGTCCGTCGTAAACCCGAAACTACTCCAAACATTACAGCATAAAGACGAAACTTTTAGCGTGAAGAAATATTGGGAGTGCAGTGTGTCGGTGCGGCGGAACTTTCCCTGCGATAAAGGAATGTTTCACATTTGAAGATAGTGAAGCAAGCATCAGATGTGATGAAACGAGCTCACTTATAACTGATAATGTACTTTTAAGTAGAAAAGGCTCCTCTAGACAGTGCAGTGCTCTATTTGATAAATAAACTCTTCAGTGCGTCATAGTTTGATTACGACATCGTACCTTGCACAGCATTGATTGAGAACTAATGGACAGTCGTGGTATCTGTAAATCGCGCTCACGAACGCCAGACATGAACGCCTCGACAATTATATTTTTGTCTTTGCCTTGCTCGTCGCATGGCTTATGGAATAGCAGGATTTGAGTGAAATTAAGGCGTCATGAATCCCGAGGTGACTTTGAAATGCTCTCCCCGATACACCTTTTCCCATTTTGGCGGGCGTGTAGCTCAGACACTAGATGGACTAATGTCTTAAGAAGGGTAGGATCGTGAACAGCACCAAAAGGTATTCAGGATGGCAATTTCATTTCAAAACCCCATATAGATGTGGAAACACTAAAACACCCCCCCCCCCTTAAACTAGTGTGCCATTTGTGCGTGCGGAACTGGCGGGATGAAGCCGATATTAAGCCCAATAAGATCGACCCACTTATTCTTCAGCTTCCATCTCCTTGGCGACGCGCGGCTCCAAATTACGATTTGAAGCTTTTCCGGTGCTGTAAAGGAAGCGCAACCCCGCAAGATTTGTTTCAGGCACGCGATGGAACGGATCTTACAGTGTCATGACTCATTACCAAGGTGTGCTGATGCATCCAAGGGCCCGACAGGAGCTGGATGTGCGCTTGTCTGCGGGGATCACTCTCTACGTCTCCACCTCACTCATATTTTTCGATCGATTTGGACGAACGGGAACGGCTAACCAGCAACAACACCCTAATCACATAAATGTGGATCCGTCATATCGGGATCCACGTTTACGTGGATATCGGCGGTATATCGGGATCCACGTTTACGTGGATCCCGATATGTGGATGTATGTGTCACGTCGGAATTCTGGGCAATGAGAAAGCGCACGCTGCAGCGGAGGTTGCTGCGTGTGAGATGAGGTTACTGTTAGGCTACGTACCTGCTGAGACCCCAACTCGGGCATATCTACTTGCGTCCGCGACGCGTGGCTGAGAATATTTGAGCAGCATCTTCACTCATTCAGGGAAATCAAGCCCGAGCCTAGTAACTGGGGGTCCGTTCTCCGCAAAAGTCCAGGAAGTCGCGCTTGTGGACTTCGCTTGGGTCATACGTATGCAACGCACTCTCTCTCCCTGACGCGCCAGGCCCCACCTTAGCGCGATATATGTGGGGACCGGCTGTGTGTAGAGCATTTCCTCGTCTCGTGCCGGCAGTATGCAGCGGAAAGGCGACGGTATTTGTGCCAGCGTCCGTCCGCCGGCTGGTTAGTCGTGACACGTGTTACGAAATCGCATATTTTTATTAACAGTTTTTTGAAGTAAATTGTAATTTTTAATTTTTTTAAATTTTTTAAATTTTAAATTTTTGTTAACAAAATTCAATTAAAATTCAGTTCAACAAAGGTTTTCATTTTGTCACGCGTGGACTTTTGTCACGCTATTATTTATAATTGACGCGCACTGTAACCGCTTAATAATAGTTGACACATTAATTGCTTGCCTGCAGACTAGGCGTGGTCCTGGTTCCCATTTTTGGTTCCTGGTTCCTTCTGGTTTCTTTGGCAGAGCAAAAGCTTGGATCCTTGTTCCTGCTGTATCTTTAGACACACTAATATCCAGGATCTTGGTTCTTATTGGTCCTTTCGACAAAGGAAAACTCTGAATCCTGGTGCCCACTGGTTGCTTCGACAAGGCCCCGGATCCGGGTTCGTGCTGGATCTTGTGACAAGCAAGGATCCGGGGGCTTTCTACAAACCACGATCCATGATTATGTTTCTTGTTGTTTTTTTCGATAAAAAACCTTGATCCTGGCTCCCACTGGTTCCTTTGAAAAACCAAGCCCTAGGTCCTGGTTCCCACAAGTTTTTTATATCAGGTCATGGGCCGGATTCCTGGTTTGCACCGGTCGTTTTAAGAACACTGGACCTTGGAGGTTGGGTTGTCACTGATTTTTTTTACCAGTGCAGGACTCATGGTTACTTATTCTCATGGTTCTCAGCTACGAAGTCAGGCAAGTCACACAGGACAACCCACGTATTTTTACTGTCCTATATATTAAAAGTCGTAGATGCCTGGGTGACCTTGAAATAGTCTCCAAAAAGTCTGCACATCTTCACGGGCGTGTAACTTAAAAACTAGGGGGCTGGGGGTGGGGGGCTCAAGCCTTAAGAATGACAGAGCCATGAGCTGCACCGAATGATATTCCAGATGGCTTTTACGGTTAAAAACCCCAAACAAAGGTGGATCACTCCCTTTAACGCGCCGCGGCGCCTGGCACCGCACGTTATGCCCTGGGTTCTAGAGCCTCTGACGTCATCCCTGACTTTTACGGCACCCGATGATATCGGCCGCAGTACATGCCGGGCAGGACCAAAACACGAGCTCATAAAGCTAGTAGAACTCTCCACGCCACCAGTAGGTAAATCGGAATGCAGGAGCTCTAACCAACTCAGATATTTGGACGGGCTGCAGAGTGGAGGGAAGGATAATTCAGTTGTTATTTTGCAGACAAGCTTCAGCATTTGAGGAAAAAATTGGCGCCTCCGAAGTAACAAAACAACATAATAAAAATGAAAAACAACGAAGCATAACGCAAGCATATTACCCGTTTTTATGCAGATGACTGTGCCTAGCTTCCGTTTAGAAATGGTGACCACATCTCAACGCAGTTTTTTATATAATGAACCGAGTTTGGCGAGGCGCGACACCTCTTGCAGAACCATGTGGTCTAAATTAAGGCATGGAAAACATCATTGACGTACATCACTGAGTCAAAATGTCCGATGTATATGCAACTTTGGCTCCAGCCAACTACAATACACGACTGGCCGTGCCAGCATAGGATTCCATGCTACTGAGGTTTTCTTATAAAGAACAGCTTCATGCAAAGATTTCATATCCATGGTCCATTCGCCTTTTCCACACGGAAACCAGGCACAATTCTATAAAAATTGATGATCAGATTTTGCTATGGTTCCTGTTTCCTCATCCCAAACATGTGGTTTCGTCAATGTTTTTCTCCGAGCTTGTCCGCGAAAATAATTGATATTTCTCTTCCCTTTGGTAGGCCGTTCCAGTAGCTCATTCGGTTAGAGCGCCTGCATTCTAATTAGCGTAATGTGGTGTGGACGGTTCGAATTGCTTTATTTGCTCATTATTTGGCTCTGCCTGGCATAGACTGCGACCGGTAG